GTGACATGTCCCAAAATATTGTTACTTTTTTTTTGAATTCTTTCACATTCGTGGCTCATGAGCTGTCTGACAAGAGACCGACAGGCAGGAATTGGTGGATGGCCATGGTTGCCCAAACCCTGTGTCCAAATCATGGCATTGTACAAGCAGGAGGGATCTCTGACCCTCTCTTTTCGTCCTCTTTCCTCTTTTCAGTTTCTCATTGTGCTGATTTGGAAACCAGAAATCGAAAGCTCTGGGAAGTGAACTCTTTCTGACTTAACCTGTTTAGTGGCAGTGTTAGGATAAAATTTCAGGTCTCAGGAGCACTTCTTAGAGCCCAGATCAGACTGAATGCTGCTTTTGTGATTGCAGAAGGCATACCATCCTCTGGTACACTAGCTCCTTAGCGTCACCCTGAATCTGAAACTTAGTTCTTCATAAAGTCTTTTGTTCTATAGCTCTGGGAAGTGAACTCTTTCTGACTTAACCTGTTAGTGGCAGTGTTAGGATAAAATTTCAGGTCTCAGGGAGCACTTCTTAGAGCCCAGATCAGACTGAATGCTGCTTTTGTGATTGCAGAAGGCATACCATCCTCTGGTACACTAGCTCCTTAGCGTCACCCTGAATCTGAAACTTAGTTCTTCATAAAGTCTTTTGTTCTATGATTCCTCAGTGCATCATTTGCTAATTTGCGCCAGTTATTCTGTTTAACACAACTGAGATATAGACATAAGCAAAGTTCCTACCCTTTAGGAACTCACTTCTTCAGGCCTGGTTTTGATAATCCAGACAAAGCTACTTAAATGTAGTTTTATCCTTAAAAGCAAATCGGCTGCACTTATGTAAGTTACAATAATAATTAGAATTTAGGAAAAATCCATTCTTAAACAAGAAGGCAAAGAGAATAAAAAATAAACATCCAAGTCACCCTCTGACTGTGCGTTGGTTTTAAAACAACAAGACTATTATTTTAAGTGAACACAAGGAAAATTTTGCTACCAAGCGAGTACAATTTCTAACAGGTGGTACATCGACTCCTCTAATTCCAGACATTTCTGAAAGTGCCCTTACTACCTACATTACTTCCTTCTGTAAAGCTCTACTGATTAAGACTTTATCTTTTGTGGTTGGATTTTTGCTTTTGGGATTACAACCTGCTTTCAAGTCACATTTTGTAAATTAGTTGAGGTATCTTGCTGAGTGATAAAGTCTGAGTCAAAAACTTCCTGAAAAGTGCCTCGTGAGGCATCATGGCAAGGATCCCAATTGTTGGACTGAGGCAGAGAGGTAGAAAGAAGAACACAGACTTTAAGGTCTGACAGATGTAAGTATAGGTCCCACCTCCACCACGTATTAGATGTGTAATGTTAAATGAGCTACTATACCTCTTTGAGCCTCAGCTTTCCTCTCTGTAAAAAGAAGATGTTAAACCTTTCCTTGCACTATTGTTGTAGGGATTAGAGATGATGTCAATAAAAATGTTTCCAGCATGCTCGGTATTCAACGTACCTTGGATAGACTTATTTGGCCAGTTCACTGCAAAGGGTAATATACACGAGTAAGATTTTTTCTTTTCTTCAAAATAGACTTTTTGGGATTAAACTCTAAAAAAGTGTTCAATAAATGAATCAAGATATTTTTCATTTCTGTTGTTGAAGTATTTGCCTTCTTACGTTTGGTAATGTTAGGATTTTCCACAGAAGAAGTTGACACTTTCCTTCTTAATCATACTGGCGATACCCATGTTTCAACACTAGTTACTATTTTCTTTTCGAAAAGTGTCATTTGTCTAGCTTCCCTTGAAAGATCAGCTAAATGTCACATTATCCCTGCTTCTGCTAATCTTTCAAATGCTCACCACCATAGTCATAACATTTTCTTCATGCTCAAGTTGATTTAAAAAAATGTTCTAAAGACAGTGTTGCTGAATTTTTATTTGTTTAATAAAATTAGGCTTTTAAATATAAAAATATAGATTTATTATAAAGCCTCTAGAAAGCAAAGAAAAATAGATTTGAAAAATACCTTGTTTAATCACATAAAGCTAGGCAGAGTTAAATCACTGTTTCCATTTTGGTACATTTTATTTTAATCTTTTCACTATTTTAATGTCCTTCTTTATATCCATAATGGTGATAACATGATGTATATATGAACATGTATATATTATATAAATATATAAGATACATAAATATATCTTTTAAAAATGGAATCTGTAGGACGGGCGCGGTGGCTCAAGCCTGTAAATCCCAGCACTTTGGGAGGCCGAGGCGGGTGGATCACGAGGTCAAGAGATCGAGACCATCCTGGTCAACATGGTGAAATCACGTCTCTACTAAAAATACAAAAAATTAGCTGGGCTTGGTGGCGCGTGCCTGTAATCCCAGCTACTCAGGAGGCTGAGGCAGGAGAATTGCCTGAACCCAGGAGGTGGAGGTTGCGGTGAGCCAAGATCGCGCCATTGCACTCCAGCCTGGGAAACGAGAGCGAAACTCCATCTCAAAAATAAATAAATAAATAAATAATAAAAATAAAAATGGTATTTGTTTATTTATTATATATAAATATATATCTAATGACTATATATCTACATATCTACTTCTATATTTATATATCTCCATGATAGAAGTTGGAAAATACTGAAAACTGTAGAGGAGTTCGGAGAAACAACCTATAATCTCATTATACAGAAATAATTTTCTTCCCTTTTGCTTCTCCACATTTTGGCTTAGATCAAATTTAGAAATGATTTTATTTTCTTAACGTTTTTGGTATTGTGTTTTTAGAGTATCAAGATGTTGCTGCATATTCTTATTTTTATGTATAGTTGTGACAGGAACACCCACAAAAATAATTGTTCTAGAAAAGAATTTGTTAATAAATATTTTCTTCCAGGAAGTGGTGTATTAGCGTTTTAAAAGAAACATTTCTGGACGTCAAAGTAGACATTGGGCTTATATCAACAGCTCAATCTTTTTTCAAATACGCTTTACTTTTAGGGCAGTGTAAAGTTAATAGTGAGGCATAGTGGAAAGTACAGAGAGTTCCTACATTCCCACCTCCCCAAATGCACAGCCTCCTCCACTATCAGCCTTCCTCACTAGAGAGGTACATTTGTTACAATGGATAAACCAACATTGACTTATCACTGTCACCCATAGTTTATAATTGACATTAGGGACCATTCTTGCCGTCGTATATTCAGTGAGTTTTGACAAGGATGTAATGGCATGTGTCTACCATTATAGTAACACACAGAGACAGAGTAGTTTCATTGCCCTAAACATCCTCTATGCTCTGCCCATTTATCCTTCCCCACTTTTCAACCCCCAGCAATCACTGAACGTTTTGATGTCTCTATAGTTTTGCCTTTTCCAGAATGTCATATAGTTGGATTCATATAGTAAGTGGTCATTTGAGATTGGTTTCTTTCACTTAGTAGTATGTATTTGAGTTTCCTCTATGTCTTTTAATGGTTTCATAGCTCACGTGCTTTTTTTTCTGCAACAAAAGCCACATTCAAATATTATTGCTTTCATTGCTGAATAATATTCCACTGTGTCGATGTAGAGGTTTGTTTATCCAGGCACTTACGAGTCTATAGTAACCAGTGTGGAGCCTGGGGAAGCCATAAATGGCCTGGTTGTGGCGAAGGCCTGGAGCCTATGTCGATAGGAGCCATGGAGGTTGGAGGCATTAGATCTTAGAGCCATAGGGGAAGGCCTGGAGCTTGGGTTGACAGGGTCTGTCCCATAGCCTGTGGCTATAGTATAGAAACCTGCCTGGTGTTGAGTTCACTGAATTGTGCCTGGCATTGGAGTTGATGTTGAAGTCAGGTGTTACATTTACTCTCCTCTCTGCACATACATAGTATCTCTTTCCATGCTGCACTACCCAGGTTTAGGGGCGGGGTAATGCAGATAATAGAAAACTCTCTTTTATACTCTATTTTATGCCGTTTTTCTTACTTTTCTACTCCACAAACGTGCTATAACCTCTCACCTGGATTCCTTGTCTCTTTTGAAGACACTTTGATGCACGGATGGCTGTTCAAATTGATGTTTCTGTGAAGGAATAAGTGCTGAAAAGTTCTGTTTTGCCATTTTGTCCATGGCATTCTTCTCTGTTAACTGAAAAAATATTTTTACTGAATAACATATTGTTAAAAATGGTCAGACCCTTGGTTTAGCTCTGGAAGTTTCTCCTTTAGAGCAAGTTCCTTTCATAGTTCTCTATAGAAAGACTACAGTTGTAAAATGTTGGTAGAGATGATATTGTGTGTAGAATTAAGGACCGATGACACATAAATGTTTAGCGGACAGTAAACATTTGTGAGTAATCTGTTCTTACACACAAAAAGAAGGTCTATAGTTTTAGGAAAGGGAAAATTATCAAGGTTATTCAGACAATATAAAATGAGTTGAGAAAATTGAAGGGAATGTTTATACTTGAATGAGACCTCATGGAGAAAGACAAAATAAGGAAGCCATGGGAGAATATTTGCATTCTCGGAACCACAAAAGTGAGGAAAGCCAAGAGCACAGCTGGAGTTGCACCAGATCAAGTAGACATTCCATCAGAGCCTGAACTGAGAATGCACCATTCCTAGTCACCTTGATAACAGCCCCATTTTCTGTTAATACTCTATGAGAAAAATCTTGCAAAATAGTCAGAAAAGGCAGAGTCACATGCGGTTCAGTGTGTTCCACCTTGGCAGACGGTCTTAGGAGGAGTTTTGGAAGGATCGTGCTGCAGGCAATGGATGAGATAAATGAGAAATTTTCCAGCTCTGTATAAAAAGGCAAGCGAAATATATGCTTGTGAATTTTTGGCTGCTTTTTTATGCTGTATTTTCAGATCAATTTTATCCCAGTTAATGTGAATATAAACTCTGATTGTTATGGTTATCTCTCGTGGGGTGTCTATTATTTTGTCAGAAATTGTATCAGGAACTCTATATCAATCACTAAATTACACATTTCCAAGCTGCATATGAATTAGGTATTACTATGATCATTTTACAGATGAAGAAGATGAGACTCAGAGCAATACATAAGTTGCCCAAGGTCAGAGAGCAAGTAAGTACCAGAAATAAAAGCCAGATAAATCTCATTCCCATATCCTTGCTCTTTCAATGATGTTTCAGAGTTGATTGCAAAAAGAATTGTTCTGTGTGCTCAGGATAATTTACTACCTACTAAATTTAACCATAGGGCAGTCTTATAAACAGGGTAGAGTATGCAGTTAAGATAAAATTTGTGAGGAAAAATTAAAATTAAAATAGTACATAACCAATGATCAGAATATTCTCTCAGTATTTTAGAAATTTATGTAAGAATAAACTAGATACTGATAAAAAAAGTCTCATTCTTTATTCACAAATCTTGTAAGTAGCTACTGTTAAAGAGAGGATATTATTTACCTAGAAGAAAGTGGGTTGTCAACCACTATATAACCATTCGTGGGGTGAATGTCTTTTTTATTTTAGGCCTCTGGCTGATGGATCCAAGAGGTAGATACGTGATGTCAAAATATTCTCTTTTATAGGTAATTACAATTTACAATGGAAGATACAGAGGCCACAAGGTAGTAGAGTTGAGTTATATTAACAGAAAACCTTGTTAGAGAAAAGAACCACCTCTTGCTATCATGTTCAATGGCAAAGATTAATAGAAGGTACAGCAAAATAGACACACATGCGAGTATACCCACGTTGATATTGGAAGTAACTTTTTTCTTATATAATATAAATCATATCTTAGAATATACTCATAATGTGTACACTTATTGGGATATTACAATCAACGTACAAAATATGTACCATATGTACATTGACTGTGATGTATATATGTGTACACAATACAGACGTGCAAAAATGTACATAATCTGTACAATATGTACATTTATATGTACATAATGTGTACACAGTAGGTATGTACATAATGTGTACAATATGTAAATATATTGTAATATTACAATGATTTCATATAATCACAACAGCATATATAATCACAATACACATATAATACATAATATCAATATAAATGTACATATTGCACACATTATATACATTTACATTTATTGTGATATTACGATATGTACACATGTACATCATGCACACGTGCAGATTTGCGGTATATACACGTGTACATAAGTGTGCACAGTATGTACATATGTACACTACACATATGTTCATATAATGTAGATATGTACCTTCTGTACAGGAGTACACAGTATGTACAATATGTACACGTATATACTAGGTACACATATAGGTGTATACACCCACTTTGGTAACCGGAGAGATTTCTATCTAATATACTAAATATAAAATCCCAGAATGTAGTCATAGTGTGTACATTTATTGTCGTATTGTGATAAATGTATTAAATAGGCACAATCTGTACATGTACTCTGCTGTACATAGGTGTACACAATGCACATGTACAAAAAATGTACGTAATCTGTAAAGTATGTACCTATATATTTCTATAATGTGTACACAATGCATAGCTACATAATGTGTACACTATGCACATTCCTTAACATATCAGTGATAAAATATATATAATCACAGTAAGATGTATAATCACACTAATACATATATGTCGTGTAATATCACCAAAAAGTACGTATTGTACACATTAGCTATGAATTAGGTACATATGTATAGTGCACATATTATGAAAATATATATGTATCATGATAACACCGTATGTACACGTATACAAATGTGTGCCTTACTATTTAAACAATGTACACATGCAGAAATAGGTGCAAACTACATACCTATGCACAGCAGGCTATTACTACAGTTCTGCTCGTAGCAGCCTCAATGCCCACCCTGGCTGCTTAAAGACCCCCTGGCTAGGGAGCTGTACCCACAGCCCCCGCCAGAGGGCCCATAACAGCTACCAGGCCCACGCTGGCTGCTTAGGGACCCCCTGCCTAGGGCGCTGTGCCCACAGCTGCTGGGGCCCGGCTATTTTGAAAATGTGGTGTAATATGATACTGGCAACCATATCACACAGAAATGATAATGATATTGTGGTTCTTTACATATTAGGCAATAGTTCTAGTTACACATTTGGCATATTGACAAAAATCTCATCCTCACCCCATTGACATTAGAATTGAAAGCATAAAAGGGTTTCACCCCTTGCAATGTTTAATTCAATATAATTGTTTTCTTGTTTACATTAGTGACCATATCAGAGCACGGTGTACATCTCTTGCAGTATTCAGAATATTTCTCTATGGGCAGCAACATTTTTCTCTCCTTATCTGGATGTTAGGAAGAATATCACAGGACCGGCTTACAGCGCCAGTCACATCGTGAGCAATGTCATCTGTAATCCCCTAGTTATTAAGAACAATGTAACGGGGTCTTGTGTGCTTTTGGAGATATTTGGAGTAATATCCTTTTAGTTTCTGGATATTACTCCTGCGATATTAAGAGTATACTCATCCTCTGTCCCTGGGATATTAGGAACGACATCGCAGAAGCGTTGCACTTTGCCTATAATATTGGAACAATCACAGAGTGTACACTTTCTTTCATTGTGAGAGAAATACCTACTTAGTATATGATGGATAATATCACAAAATGGACACACATGGGTATATATCCACTGTGATATTGGAAGGCATTTTTATCTAATATACTAAAAGTCATAACCCAGAAAAAACTCATAATGTGTAGACTTATTGGGATATTACACTCAATGTACAGAATATGTAACATATGTACATTGCCTGTGATGTACATACATGTACACAATACAGATGTACAATGTACATAAACTGTATCATTTGTACGAATATATGTACAAAATGTGCACATAATAGGTATGCACATAATGTGTACAATATGTACATTTATTGTAATATCACAATGTTATATAATCACAACTGCATATAAAATCACAATACACATGTAATATGTAATATCAATATAAATGTACATATAGCAAACATGTACATTTACATTTATTGTGATATGATATGTAAACATGTACATCATGTACCTATTATGTACAGATGCACAATATATGCAAGTGTACATATGTGGGTACAGTATGTACATATGTACACTACACATGTGTACATATAATGTAGATATGTACCTTCTGTACCCGAGTACATTCTATGCACAATATGTACACATATAAACGGTGTACACACCTGGGTGTACAACCACTTTGGTAACCAGAGAAATTTCTATCTAATATACAAAATATAATAATTCAGAATGTAGTAACAGTGTGTACATTTATTGGCATATTACAATAAATGGTATAAAATAGGTACAATCTGTACATTTACCCTGCTGTACATATGTGTACACAATGCACATGTACAAAAAATGTACATACTCTGTAAAATATGTACCTACATATTTCTATAATGTGTAAACAATGTATAGATACATAATGTGTACACTATGCACATTCCTTAAAATATCAGTGATAAAATATATATAATCAAAATAATGCATATAATCACAGTAATATATATATATCATGTAATATCACAAAAGAGTACATATTGTACACAGTAGGTACGCATTAGGTCTATATGTATTGTGCACATATGTACATATATATTTATCATAACACCATGTGTACACTTATACAAATATGTGTTCATTATTAAAACTATGTACCTGCACAGAACAGGCTATTACCACAGCCCCCCTCGTAGCAGCCCCAAGGCCCACCCTGGCTGCTTAAAGACCCCCTGACTAGGGAGCTGTAACTACATTCCCGCCAGAGGGCCCGTAACAGCTCCCAGGCTGATGCTGATGCTGGCTGCTTAGGGACCCCCCGGCTAGGGTGCTGTGCCCGGCTATTTTGAAAATGTGGTGTAATATGATGCTGGTGACCATATCATATGGAAATGTTATTCTGGTTTTTTATATACTAGGCAATAGTTCTAGTTACACCTCTGCCATATTGACAAAAATGTCATCCTCACACCCCTGGACATTAGAATTGAAATCATAAGGGGGTTTCACCCCTTGCAATGTTAAATTCAATATAATTGTTTTCTTGTTTACATTAGTGACCATATCAGAGCACAGTGTACTCCTCTTGCCGTATTCAGAGGATTTGCCTATGGGCAGCAACATTATTCTCTCGTTCTCTGGATATTAGGAACAATATCACAGGACCGGCGGACAGCCCCAGTCATATCGTGAGTAATGTCATCTGTAATCCCTTAGTTATTAGAAAAATATCACGGGGGTCTTGTGTGCTTTATCAGATACTTGGAGTAATATCTTTTCCGTTTTTGGATACACGATACTACAGTGGTGGTGTACACTTCCTGCGATTTTCAGGGTATAATAATCTTTTGTCCCCAGGATATTAGGTAGTACATTAAAGAAGCCTTGTACTTTGCCTGCGATATTGGAACAATCACAGAGTGAACACTTGCTTTCAAAATGAGAGTAATACCTACTTAAAATATGATGGATAATACCAAAAAATGCACACACATGGGTGTATACCCACTTTGATATAGAAAGAAATTTTTATCTAATATGCTAAAAATCATATATCACAATATACTCATAATGTGTACACTTATTGAGATGTTATAATCAATGTGCAGAATACATACCATATGTACATAGAGTGTTATGTACATATGTGTACACAATACAGATGTACCAAAAATGTACATAATCTGTACAATATGTGCAATTACAGGTACATAATGTGTACACAATAGGTATGTACGAAATGTGTGCAATAGGTACATTATTGTAATATTACAATGATATCATATAATCACAACAGCATATAAAATCACAATACACAATAATACATAATATAAATGTACATATTGCACACACCGTGTACATTTACATTTATTGTGGTATCACAGTGTGTACACATGCACATCATGTACCCATTATGTACACATGTACAAAATATGCACATGTACATATGTGTGAACAGTATGTACATTTGCACACTATGTACACATAAATACATATAATGTTGACATGTACATTTTGTACATGAGTACCTAATATGCACAATATGTACACGTATAAACTATGTACACACCTGGGTGTACACCCACTTTGGTCAATGGAGTAATTTCTAATATGGTAAAAATTATATTTTAGAATGTACTCATAATGTGTACATTTATTGATATATCACAAGAAATGTATAAAATAGGTACAGTCTGTACATTTACTCTGCTGTGCATAGGTGTACACAATACACATGTAGAAAAAGTGTACATAATGTGTAAAATATGTACCTGTATATTTCTATATTGTGTACACAATACATGGGTATATAATATGTACACTATGCACATTCCTTAAAATATTAGTGATAAAATATATTTAATCACAATAAGATATATAATCACAGTAATATATATTGTCTAATATTACAAAAAAGTACATATTGTACACATTAGGTATGCATTAGGTACATATGTATTTTGCACATATTATGTAAATATAAATTTATCGTGATAACACCATATGTACGCATGTACATATATATGCCTGATATTAAAACTATTTACACATGTAGTAATAGGTGCAAACTATGTACCCATGCACAGCACGCTATTACCAAAGCCCCCCTTATAGCAGCCCCCAGGCCCAGCCTGGCTGCTTAGAGACCCCCTGGCAATTGGGCTGTGCCCACAAACACTGCTCGAATGCCTGTAGCAGCCCTCATGCCCACCCTGGCTGCTTAGGGACCCCCTGACTAGGTGTCTGTGCCCACAGCCCATGCCAGAGTGCCCGTAGCGGCCCCCAGGCCAACCATGGCTCAGGGACCCCCGGCTGGGTCGATGTGCTCACAGACCCCACCAAAAAGCCCAGAGCAGCCCCCAGGCCCACCCTGGCTGCTTAGGGGTCCCCTCGCTTGTGGGCTCTGCCCACAGCTGCTGAGGCCCAGCTATTTTGCAAATCCGGTGTAATATGATACTGGCAACCATATTATATAAAAATGATAATCTTATTCTGTTTTTTTGTATATTAGGCAATAGCTCCAGTTACACCTCTGCCATATTGACAAAAATGTCATCCTCACCCCCATTGACATTAGAATGAAAATCATAGGGGAGTTTCATTCCTTGCAATGCTTAATTCAATGTAATTGTTTTCTTGCTTACATTAGTGACCATATCAAAGCATGGTGTACTCCTCTTGCCGTATTAAGAGTATTTCCCTATGGGCAGCAACATTTTTCTCTCCTTCTCTGGATATTAGGAACAATATTCCAGGACCAGAGTACAGCCCCAGTCACGTCGTGGGTAATGTCATCGTCATCTGTAATTCTCTAGTTATTAGAAACAATATCACGGGGGGCTTGTGTGCTTTCTGAGATATTTGGAGTAATATCCTTTCCGTTTTTGAACATTAGAAACAATACTACAGTGGTGGTGTACACTTCCTGCGAAATTCAGGGTATGGTCATCCTTTGTCCTCAGATATTATTAACTACATCACAGACGAGTTTTAGTTTGCCTTGATATTGGAGCAATCCGAGAGTGTAAACCTGCTTTCACAATGAGAGAAATACCTACTCAGGATATGATGGATAATATCACAAAATGGACACACATAAGTGTATACTCACTTTGATATTGAAAGTAATTTTTATCTAACGTACTAAAAATCATATCCCAGAATATACTTATAATGTGTACTCTTACTGAAATATTACAATGCACAGAATATGTACCATATGTACGTTGACTGTGATGTACATATGTGTGCACCATACAGATGTACAATAAATATACATAATCTGTACAATGTGTACATGTGTACATAATATGTGCACAATAGGTATGTTCATAATGTGTACAATATGTACATTTGTAATATCACAATGATATCAGAACAGCATATACAATCACAATACACATGTAATACATAATATAAATGTACGTATTTCACACATTATGTACATTTCCATTTATTGTGGTATGACGATGTGTTTACATGTACAGCATAGACCCATTATGTATGGATGTACAATAAATTCAGGTGTAGATATATGTACATAGTATGTACATATGTACGCTATGTACCCATACATACATATAATGTAGATATTTACCTTCTGTACACAAGTACGTAATATGCACAGTATGTACATGTACAAAGTATGTGCACACATAAGTTTACACCCACTTTGGTAACCAGAGTAATTTCTATCTTATATTCTAAATGTAATATCACAGAATGTACTCATAATGTGTACATTTATTGGCATATCACAATAAATGTCTAAAGTAAGATCTGTACATTTACTCTGTGTACCGTACCCAATACACAAGTAAATAAAATGTACATAACCTGTAAAATATGTTTCTTTTTATTTCTATAATCTGTGCACAATGCATAGGTGCATGTTGTGTATAATATGTACATTTGTAATGTCACAATGATATCATATCACAACAGCATATATAATCACAATAAACGTAATACATAATATAAACGTACATATTGCAAACATTATGTATATTTACATTTATTGTGATATGTGTACACATGTACATCATGTACCCATTATGTACAGATGTACAATATATGCACGTGTACATATGTGTGCACAGTATGTACATATGTATGCTGCATACACCTATGTATATATAATGTAGACATGTACATTCTGTACATGAGTACATAATATGCACAACATGTACATGTATAAACTATGTGCGCACCTGGGTGTAAACCCACTTTGGTCACCGGTGTAATTCCTATCTAATATGCTAAAAATTATATCCCAGAATGTACTCATGTGTACATTTATTGACATAAATGTATAAAATAGGTATAGTCTGTACATTTACTCTGCTGTACATATGTGTACAAAATACACATGTAGAAAAAATGTACATCATCTGTAAAATATGTACCTATTTCTATAATGTGTACACAATGCATAGGTACATAAAGTGTACTCTATGTACATTTCTAAAAATTTCAGTGGTAACATACATATTATCACAATAAGATATATAATCAATAATATGTAGATATCACATAATATCACCAAAAAGTACATATTTTTTATATTAGGTACGTATAAAGTACATATTTATTGTACACATATTATGTACATATATGTTTATTGTGATAATAACATATGTACATGTGTACAAATATGTGCCCATTATGTAAACGATCTACACATGTAGAAACAGGTGCAAACCGTGTACCTGTGAAGAGCAGGATATCCCCACAGCTCCCGCCAAAGGGCCTATAGCAGCTTCCAGCTCCACCCTGGCTACGTAGGGACCCCCTGGTTAGGTGTGTGCCCATAGCCCCTGCCAGAGTGTCAGTAGCAGCCGCCAGGCCCTCCCTGGATGCTGAGAGACCCTCTGGCTATGTGGCTGTTACCACAGCCACCGCCAGAGGGCCCGTAGCAGCCCCAAGACAAACCACAAAGGGCCCATAGCAGCTGCAAAGCCCAACCTGGTTGCATAGGGACACCCTCGCTTGGCTGCCAGGCCCACAGCCGCTGGGGCCCAAATATTTTGAAAATGTGGTGTAATATGATACTGGCAATCATATCATATGTAAATAATAATTTTATCCTTTTTTATTATATAGTAGGCAATAGCTGTAGTTACACCGCCGCCATTTTGACAAAAATGTCCTCCTCACCCCCTTGAAATTAGAAGGAAAATTATAGGGGGGGTTAACACCTTGCAATATTTAATTCAATATAATTATTTTCTTGTTTACATTAGTGACCATATCACAGCACGGTGTACTCCTCTTGCCGTATTCAGAGGATTTGCCAATGGGCGAAACATTCTCCTCTCCTTATCTGGAAATTAGAAACATTATCACAGGACCGGCAAACAGCCGCAGTCATATCGTGAGTAATGTCCTCTGTAATCCCCTAGTTGTAAAAAACAACATCACGGGGGTCTTGTGCACTTTATGAGATACTTAGAGTAATGTTAGGATTTGGGTATTTTAAATGAAAGAGCATATTGAGTTTGTGTATATACTCTAAAACAGAGTAGAAAAGGGCATTGTATATTTTTTCTGACAGATTATATACAGAGCAATTTTGCTTTTAACTTTGGGATGCCTAGATAATATTTAGATTTTTTTCGATTCACGTAAATTTACAATTTCGGTATTTTACATGAGAGAGGATATTGAGTAGGTGTATATACTCAAAAACAGAGTAGAAAAGGGCATTGTATATTTTTTCTGACAGATTATATTCAGAGCCATTTTGCTTTTAACAATTGGGGTGCTTAGATAATATTTAGATTTCTTTCGATTCGTGTAAAATTATCGATTCGTGTAAAATTAGTAAAATTAGAATTTTTGTATTTTAAATGAGAGAGCATATTGAGTTGGTGTATATACCCCAAAACACAGCAGAAAAGGGCATTGTATATTTTTTCTAACAGATTATATTCAGAGCAATTTTGCTTTTAAAATTGGGGTGCCTAGATAATATTTAGATTTTTTTCGATTCACGTAAATTTAGAATTTCGGTATTTTACATGAGAGAGCATATTGAGTTTGTGTATATACTCCAAAACAGAGTAGAAAAAGGCATTGTATATTTTCTCTGACAGATTATATTCAGAGGAATTTTGCTTTTAACATTGGGATGCCTAGATAATATTTAGATTTTTTTTGATTCACGTAAATTTACAATTTCGGTATTTTACATGAGAGAGCATATTGAGTAGGTGTATATACTCCAAAACAGAGTGGAATAGGGCAACGTATACTTTCTATAACGGAATATATTCGGAGCCGTTTTCTTTTAACCTTGAGGCGCCTAGATATTACTTAGATCGATTTGCGTAAAATTTGAATTTCGGTATTTTACATGAGAGAGCATATTTTGTTGGTGTATATACTACAAAACAGAGTAGAAAAAAGCATTGAATGTTTTTTCAGACAGATTACATTCAGAGCAGTTTTGCTTGTAATATTGGGGTGCCTAGATAATATTTAGATTTTTTTTGATTCGCTTAAATATAGAATTTCTGTATTTTACGTGAGAGAGCATATGGAGTTGGTGTATATACTCCAAAACAGAGTAGAATAGGGCATTGTATATTTTTTCTGACAGATTATATTCAGAGCAATTTTGTTTTTAATATTGGGGTGCCTAGATAATACTTAGAATTTTTTCGATTCACGTAAAATTTGAATTTCGGTATTTTACATGAGAGAGCATACTGAGTTGATGTATGTACTACAAAACATAGTAGAATAACGCATTCTATATTGTTTCCAACAGATTATATTCACAGCCAATTTCTTTTAACTTCGCGGCACCTCGATATTATTTAGATTAGATTTTTTTCGATTCGCGTAAAATTAGAATTTCTGTATTTTAAATGAGAGAGCATATTGAGTTGGTGTATATACTACAAAAAAGAGTAGAAAAGAACATTGTATATTTTTTATGACAGATTATATTCAGAGCAATTTTCCTTTTAACATTGGAATGCCTAGATAACATTTAGATTTATTTCGATTCGCTTAAATATAGAATTTCTGTATTTAACGTGAGAGAGCATATGGTGTTCGTGTATATAATCCAAAACAGAGTAGAATAAAGCATTGTATATTTTTTCTGACAGATTATATTCAGGGCAATTTTGTTTTTAACATATGGGTGCCTAGATAATATTTAGATATTTTTCGATTCACGTAAAATTGTAATTTCGGTATTTTACATTAGAGAGCATACTGAATTGGTGTATATACTCCAAAACAGAGTAGAATAAGGCATTGTATATTTTATTAACAGACTATATTCAGAGAGATTATTTAGATTTATTTGATTCAGGTAAAATAAAAATTTCGGTATTTTACATGAGAGAGCATATTGAGTGGGTGTATATACTCCAAAACAGAGTAGAATAGCGCATTGTATATTTTTTCTGACAGACTATATTCAGAGATATTTTGTTTTTAACATTGTAGTGTCTAGATAATATTTAGATTTATTTCAATTTACATAAATTTAGAATTTTGGAATTTTACAACAGAGAGCATACTGACTGGTGTATATACTCCAAAACGAAGTAGAATAGGGCATTGTATATTTTTTTTAACAGACTATATTCAGAGAAATTTTGTTTTTAACATTGGGGTGCCTAGATAATATTTAGATTCTTTGGATTCGGATAAAATTAGAATATCGGAATTTTACATGAGAGAGCATATTGAATTGGTGCATATACTACAAAACAGAGTAGAAAAGGGCATTGCATATTTTCTCTGACAGATTGTATTCAAAGCAAATATTTAGATTATTTCGATTCATGTAAAATTAGAATTTCTGTATTTTACCTGAGAGAGCATACTGAGTTGGTGCATATACTCCAAAACAGAGTAGAAAAAGGCATTGTATATTTTCTCTGACAGACCATATTCAGAGTCATTTTCTGTTAACTTTGTGGCGCCTAGATATTATTTATATTTTTTTCGATTTGCGTAAAATTATAATTTTGGTACTTTACATGAGAGATCATATTGATTTGGTGTATATACTACAAAACAGAGTAGAAAAGGGCATTGTATATCTTTTCCGACAGATTGTATTCAGAGCAATTTTGCTTTTAACATTGTGGTGCCTAGATAATATTTAGATTTTTATCGATTCGCTGAAATATAGAATTTCTGTATTTTACATGATAGAGCATATGGAGTTGGTGTATATACTCCAAAAGAGTGTAGAATAGGGCATTGTATATTTCTCTGACAGATTATATTCAGAGAAATTTTGCTTTTAACATGAAATTTTGCTTTTAACATAATAATATACAGATTTTTTCGATTCGCTTAAATATAGATTTTCTGTATTTTATATCAGAGAGAATATGAAGTTGGTGTATATACTCCAAAACAGAGTAGAATATGGCATTGTATACTTTCTATAACGGACTATATTCAGAGTCATTTTCTTTTAACCTTGAGGTGCCTAGATATTATTTAGATTTTTTCCATTTGCGTAAAATTAGAATTTCGGTATTTTACATGAGAGAGCATATTTTGTTGGTGTATATACTACAAAACAGAGTAGAAAAGGTCATTGTATATTTTCTCTGACAGATTATATTCAGAGCAATTTTTCTTTTAACATTGGGGTGCCTAGATAATATTAAGACTTTTTTCGATTCACGTAAAATTAGAATTTCTGTATTTTACATGAGAGAGCATACTGAGTTGGTGTATATATTCCAAAACAGAGTAGAATAGGGCATTGTATATTTTTTCTGACAGATTATATTCAGAGCAATTTTGTTTTGACAGATTATATTCAGAGCAATTTTGTTTTATTTTGTTTTTAACATTGGGGTGCCTAGATAATATTTAGATTTTTTTGATTCGTGTAAAATTAGAATTTCTGTATTTTACATAAGAGAGCATATTTTGATAGTGTATATACTACAAAACAGAGTAGAAAAGGGCATTGTATATTTTTTCTGACAGATTTTATTCAGAGCAATTTTGCTTTAAACATTGGGGTGCTGAGAAAATATTTAGATTTTTTTTTCGATTCACGTAAAATTGGAATTTCTGTATTTTACATGAAGAACATATGGAGTTTGTGTATATACTCCAAAACAGTGTAGAATAGGGCATTGTATATTTCTTCTTACAGATTATATTCAGAGCAATTTTGTTTTTAATATTGGGGTGCCTAGATAATATTTAGATTTTTTTCAATTCACGTAAATTTAGAATTTCGGTATTTTACATGAGAGAGAATACTGAGTTGGTGTATTCACAGCCATTATCTTTTAACTTTGGGGCACCTAGATATTATTTAGATTTTTTTCGATTTCCGTAAAATTAGAATTTCGGTATTTTACATGAGAGAGCATATTGAGTTGGTGTATATACTACAAAACAGAGTAGAAAAGGGCATTGTATATTTTTTCTGACAGATTTTACTCAGAGCAATTTTATTTTCATCATTGGTGTGCCTAGATAATATTTAGATTTATTTTGATTCGCTTAAATATAGAATTTCTGTATTTTACATGAGAGAGCATATGGAGTTGGTGTATATACTCCAAAACAAAGTAGAATAGGGCATTGTATATTTTTTGTGACAGATTATATTCAGAGCAATTTCGTTTTTAACATTGCGGTGCCTAGATAATATTTAGATTTTTTTGATTCGGGTAAAATTAGAATTTCTGTATTTTACATGAGAGAGCATATTTTGATAGTGTATATACTACAAAACAGAGTAGAGCAATTTTGCTTTTCACATTAGGGTGTCTAGATAATATTTAGATTTTTGGATTCGCTTAAATATAGAATTTCTGTATTTTACATGAGAGATCATATGGAGTTGGTGTATATACTCCAAAACAGAGTAGAATAGGGAATTGTATACTTTTTCTGAAAGATTATATTCAGCGCAATTGTTTTTAACATTGGCGTGCCTAGAAAATATTTAGATTATTTTCGATTAACGTAAAATTAGAATTTCAGTATTTTACATGAGAGAGCATAATAAGTTGGTGTATATTCTTGATAACAAAGGAGAATAAGGCATTGTATATTTTTTCCAACAGACTATATTCACAGCCATTTTATTTTAACTTTGGGGCACCTAGATATTATTTAGATTTTTTTTCAATTCGTGTAAAACTAGAATTTCTGTATTTTACATGAGAGAGCATAATTTTTTTTGGTGTATATACTCCGAAACAAAGTAGAATAGAGCATTGTATATTTTTTCTGACATTCAGAGCAATTTTGTTTTAACATGGGGTGCCTAAATAATAT